CCACATTAAAATTAGATGGAAAAGATCAATAGCCGAGGCCAGGCTGGGTAAAATACATTTAGGAAGACAAAGTCCTCCTGTGGTCCCAGAGAGTCAATTCCAGCTTCATGTGGGTGGACTATGGCAGGAGATGTTAGGGAGATGGGCAGCCTGCCTTTGGGTTCAGAGCTGCAGAAAATACTGCCTGCGGAGCGAAGGCAGTGAAATGGCACAAACCCAACAAGAGCTTTCTAAAGCTGAAGTTGATCTCAGCTCTGCGCTTAGGAGTTTTATACGGAGACTCGGAGCAAGGCAGGTATAGATGCAGGTATAGATAAACTTGAGGTCCAGGGAAACCCCTGCCAGAGCACCACCATCTCCTGGGATGTGGGTGCATGGAGCTGCTGAAGAAGCTTCCAGCACAGCAGCCTCATGTGTGCGGTACCTGGGTGGCCGGCTGCCACCTCCATCTCTGCTCACCAGCTCTGCTGGATGTAGGGGGCTTGGAGACAATGTGCTAGGACAGAAGGCAGGGGTAAGGATATCATTTGGATCCTGGCTGGAGGAGGAGTGTAAGAGTAGGAAGATGACTTTATAATTGCTTTTTTTTAATCGCGCTTTCTGACTATATCCACTTTATACTTGACACAGCTTTGGCTGGCAAGTGAGGCCCAGATACATTCAGAATTAGATATGACTAGGCTCAGTCTTACATGAGAAGAAAATCATCGGTTGCTACAGAAACAGCTCCATATCAGTCTCGTGGGGCATCTTTGCATCTGGCTTTTTTTCCTTCTCTTTTGCTAATCTGTAGATAAGAGTCAAAGCAAGTGCAGCACATCCCACATCTATATAAAAGGTTGGAGGAACTCTGCAGAGAGCAAAGTGTGAAAGAACATCTCATAGATAAGGTAAACTTAAATGAATGAGTTAATTTACAACCCCCTCCCCCATTTTTTTTCTAGTTTTGCAACTCTCACTGAGTTAATTGAGGTGAAAATTAAATGACACCAGTCAGCAGATATTTTAAAGACCACCAACATCAAGGAAGAGAAAGGAGGTACTCAGAAAGGGAGTTACTAAGAAAAATTTAGAAAATGATTCAAGGGGTGAGTTAGAACCTATGGCGAGAAAATTGCATACGGCAATGGAATAATAATCCAGGCTCACTTTCAGGCAAGTTGTTTAACTTGATAAATTAAGGAATTAGTTAAAAATAAGTGTATATTATGGGTGAACAGGGACCATTCTGCATGCTTTGGACCAGCTCACCAATGAGGTTTTTCAACTGGTTTTCTAAAACGTAATGAATTCTTGATGCCTAGTAGATTAATATTTATTGAGTGAATCAATGCTTAATTTATTAAAAATTTGCCTTCCTTGTATTTTAATATGATTTATTACTCATCAGTGCTTATTGCATTAATTAAAGATTGTGTTAATTTTGTGGCAGTGAACGCGATCTGCTGCAGGTTTGCTGCAGAGCCCTAATGCGCTGTAGGGACTGTGCCTCTGGGCAGTACCAAGGATGGAAAACTGCACGAGGTGAGAAGCCGGTATGAATCACCAATGGCCTTTTCCTGCCTTCGGGCTTTCAAATAGCCAGCAAAGTGAAAATGGGGATGCTGCCCCTTAAGGGTAGGACAGGATTATAGCAATTAGAGGTACTGTGGTGGTACAGGGAGTCGCCTCTTATAAGTTATGGCTGATGCTGTGGAAATCGTTTTAGTGTTTCTCATGGAATGCCTTTTCGTCAACGCAGGTGAAATCCAGCCTTAGCGATACGGGAAACTGTCACCTCTCCCCAGACCAGGGACGAGAGTCATTACATTTCAGTGCTCAGGTTGTAAGTAATTCTTGGGACAGTAGGTTGCCTGAAGATTGGGATAGTCCCAAGCATCTCTGCAGGGGCAGGTGTTTAAGAAGTGGAAAATTACTAAAAGCAGAATAAAAGAAAAGCCAGACATCTTGTGAGATGAGTCTTTCAAGAAATCTGTCAAAACAGGGAGAGGGTGATCGTGCTGGAGGGGCGCAACAGCTGCAATTTGCATCTTTCAGCACTGAAGGGAGAAGCGAATATATAAAGCCCCACAGCCATGATACTTCTGATGCAATTATTTTATTAATCTTCGTGACACTTGTAATGTCTCTCTCTTTAAATTCAAATTCTGCTGCTTTTATAGCTACTCATAAGTGCGGCTGTATGTGTTTTAAAAAAATCCATCTGGTTACTAGACTGCTTGCATCCAGCTGAGCCCTGGAAACGGCAGAGAGCTGGCCCCTGAGATCTGAGAGCAGGCTTGAATTTCTGGAAAGTGATCGGATCCATAATTAGTGCAGTTTTGCATGTTTAAATGCATCATTCTGGAATGCACTTTGCTGTTTCCTCCTCTCCAGAGCTTGGGTGAGTGTCCACAAACTTCCCTTGCCCAGCTAAATTAGAGAAACCTTTTCAAGGTCTGCTGAAGGTCAGAGCAGAGAAATTTTTTCTCTCTCAGTGCAGTAGTCAGGCAGTAACCGCCGTGCTCCAGCCCGGAGCGTTTGGGTGGAGTTAGTGCCAAGAACCTGGTGGCATTTCAAATCCCTTGCAGCAGTTAGGTGTTAGATGCAAAAGATCAGTGCTGCTCCACTTAAGTCAGAGGAATAACTTGTGCTTAAAGTTCAACACATACACAAAGATTTCCTGGATCTGGAGTTAATTTGTTTTTTTCCAAGGCCAGACTGAAGGCAATGTCCAAACAGGAAACAAGTTACAAACCAAACATTGGACTTGTAATAATTTCATTTTATTTCCCATTTTGTTTAGACTATTCTATATGCTTTGGTTTAACTGCAATATCAGGTTAAGCTATTTAGGTTTCTATTTAATGTTTATTTTTACCCTAGTTAATAGACTCAAGTCATGACTGGGGGCTAGTTGGGCTACTTGCCTTTCTCCCCACTCCAGGTCTTTACATTTTGCAACCTTCTTTCACACAGGATATTTATATTCCACTTTTTTTCCCATTAGAGAAGCTTTCACAGTGTATGGGCTTTGGATATATATTTTCTGCTCTAGCTGTTCATTAGATATACAGCATTTGGAGTTCCACTTTTGCTGAGAAATGTAAGCAAAGCTTTTGGCCCAGTGGGGGCTACGCTCTGGCGTTTCGTAGCTTTGTATATACGAATCAGGATTAAGGCACAGGATCTATATAAAATTTAGCTCATTAGGAGATGTTTCATCTTACGGCTTCCGCTGGGGAGGTGGGTCCCTTGCCTACGCTATTGCTTACTTTGCTTTATGACTCCCTGGGAAAGGAGTGTGGGGTGAGCAGACCCCAGCAGAGTAGGGACAGTGTTTCTGAATGGCTTTTGTGGAAGTGACACAAGGCAGCAGCAGGGTCTTCTGCTCCCTTTTATAATTACCCTGGCACACCTGGAAAAAGGCTTGGTATAGGCTGGCCTTAGTATTTGATAATACAGCAAATGTGGTCAAGCACACCACTAAGGTCATACTCAGAATCACTCGTCCGAGTTAAGAGAACAAGGAGTACCTATGAAAGCAGACCTGAATGAATTTTCTCGCAAATACGATTTGCTTTGTACAAGAGTTAAGGTACGGAAGGCCAGGAAAGTTTCAGAAAATGTGGTTTTTTCAGCCTGATACCCCACTCATCTTTCCAGCAGGCCATATTCACTCTTGGGTGTATAGCTCAAGTATGATCAGTGGATGATCAACTGTGTCCATACACTTTAGCCAGTGAAGCTTTACTTATAGAGGAACGATGTGTTTGGAAAGGAGTTTCATCAGTCATAATTTCCAAGGA